TTCTACTTCGTTTGGATGACATAGTAGAGTCTCTCAAGTCTCCGTAGATATGACAAACACAGAAATAAATAACGCAAAATAAATTGTAGCTATGTGTGGATTCCGCGCGACACATCCGAACATGTAAGCTGAACAACAGTGTGGGGGGAGTGAGTAATCAAGGGTTGCATGGCGCTCAAACAAAAGACAAATCGACGAGATTTGAAAATCGCGTAACTCCGGGTTCGCGTAAGTCGGGGTAGCGTAAGTCGGGGTATTACTGTATATACTAAATTGAATAATTTGAATAATTTAAAAATTGGATTTATTTTTTTGTTCAGAAACCTTAATTAAATATTAAAATAAAAAGACCTGTTTAAATTAACTTTTTATTGAAACTTATAATAAAATTGTTTAAAGTTATATTATTTTATATAAAACTTTTCTATGCAGGCAATTAGGTTGAGTCCTTCATCTCTAGAAAAATCGAATGTAGGACAAATGGTAAATCTTCTAGCAAACGATGTCAGCAAGTTTCTAAGTGTAAGTTGAAAACAAAGTTCTAAAGTATGGGTCCCCAAACATTTTATCCCTTCGACACATTCATAGAATATTTGCCTTCTTATAGACCCCCAGATTAAGTATTTAACAAAAACATTAAATCATTTTTTGCATTTCTGATGTTAAGCAATAAGAAGACCTGCATAACAACCCTACGAAAGAATTTATAGTTCCCATATCTTATAAAATCCACCCAATATCATTAACAGAAAAAAATTTTCTACTGATTAATAATCTTAAAAAATAATAGCAAAATTATGGATAGATGGAAATTTGCCTATATTTCTTAATTAAATCGTACGTGTCATAATACGTAAAATAATCTACACAATTATCTTTGAAAACATAACATAAATTATATTGGACGAAAAAAACCTCTTACTGTCATTCTGCGACTACTAATGAATACCTTAAAAATATGTTAACATGCCTTTTTATTAAAATAGTTGATATTAGTGGGAGGACATGTCTGAAGAGAAGCAGCAAGTTTCTCTTCAGACATATTCGGTAAGTTTTAGTCGCAAATCACCGCAGTTTTCCAAGTTCAATCTGTTCCTGTGTTCTGCCAAAATTGCATTCGTGTGGCTAAAACCAGCTTCACTCATGTACGACGTTGAGAATGCAAGTAAGAAAGGTTCGGTTTCTGCTCTGAGCTTGGGATATTTAGTGGCAATATTGTTATTGCTCCAAAATTGACCGAAGTTTTTGTTTTTAAACAAATCTTTAGCTTCGAGATCTACACATATTTCAGTCAGTTTATCTTCTAAGCCAGGTTCACTACCTTCATTATCTGTTTTTACATCAAATGGATTAGCAAACCATTCGGGTACATGCATATTCTCCAAGTCTTCGAAACGTGTTTTAAAGTCTTCTTTTAATTTATCAAGATGTTTAATATATATCTTGAAATTACGGTTGGAAATCTTTTCATTTTCTTTTAGTACTCGCAAGCTTGAAAAATATTTAAAATCGGATCGTGCCGGTGAAGATTTAAATAGCTCCATTTTTACTTGAATGGCCATTTTTTCCTTGCAAACGCTTCTGTACTATATTAAATTTCGAATAAACGTCTGCCAAATAGAACAGATGGTTCTTGCACTGTTTTAACTGGTCACATAGCGATGGATCCACAATCCTAAGAAACTCTTCAGCTGTCGTACAAGTCAACAAGCCTCTGCAAATTATCACCTTACCTCAGTGTGCAAAAGTAATTGGTTGAAACTTTCATTATTTTCTTCATATAACTTCGCACAGTCTGGAATTGAGAGGATGAGCTTTAATTTTATTTATTAACCTGATGCACACTTTTAGAGTATCATGAAGCTCGCCATTCAGTTTTTTGGCTACAAGACGCTGTCTGTGTAGGACACAGTGAACTGTACTTTAAGAACCATTTTCTTCAGAAAGACGAAAAATCCTTTTTTATGATATTTTTGAAACCGTGCCAGTAATCTCTGTAATTCAAACACAAATTATTTATTGTATTTATACAGACACTTGGCAAATTACAGTATTAAATTTTATTTAGTTGATACGTGTTCTTATTTATACACGTTTCGGGCATTTCTTGCCTCTATTCAGCCAACTAAAATAAAAGTTCACAAGTTACAACAGTATAAACAAACATATAAGGTCATGTTATTTTAAAAACATACCTTTTTATCCTCTGTAAAATCTTCTGAAAAATCCTCTGTAACGGCCTACCATAGCAGATGCACCGTCGGTAGCTACTGTAGTAATATTCCCGAAAGGACTGCTGGTGTTTGTTCGAATAATCTTGCAAACATAAAAATTGTCTCACCTTTTGAATCAGTTTCAAGATACTTAGCAAATAGAAATTCATCAACAGTGTCTTTCAGGGATGGGCTATGAAACCTAACATAAGCAATGAGAAGATTTGAACTTCCGAAAGTTGATTCGTCAAGTTGAATAGCAAATTTACAATGCTGGAGCTGAGAGGTCAAAGTTCTTTCCACATCATTGGCCATTTCCTTAATACTCGCTGCACAGTACAGTATTTGCACTTTATGGTATGCATTTTAAAACTAGTTGAGAGCCTTTCTTCATAACATTTTTAATTGCATCTTTTATAACTGGTATTATTATCTCTTCACCAATAGTATAAGGTTTTCCTTTCTTTGCTATATTAAGAGAGATGCTGTAGGATGTCTTCAGTCCTCCTCATCTATCAAGATGACTTCAAATAAGTATTCAAATTTGGCAGAACTCTCAATTTCTCTTTTAGTATTTTGAAATACTCAAATTCTTTGTTTTTCTTATCAGAATGGATCCTTTCAAAGTGGTCTTTCATTTTCGCTGACTTCATAGCATCACTGCTGAGAGTTTTTTCACATAATAAGCACATAGGAATACAGTAGTTTCATTAGCAAACGATGGCACAAAACATATTTTAAATACTCCTGTGAATATTGTCTGCATTTCTTCTTAGCATTGGTAGCTGACATTGTGGGTATTAAACTCAGATTTTTAATATGAAAAACACAATACGTTTGCTGCACAACAAAACAGCAGCAGTAAGAGAGACAACTTTCTCTAACATGAGGTATAAAGAACTGCCTGTTTATTCTCAGAGTGCAGGTTGCCACCTTTTGCTAAGAATAGATGTTTAGAATTAAAAGGAATTATAATTATTCTAGACTATTAAACTAAAGATATTAATAAATGTACGTGATTTTTTTCATATGAACATAATGATAATTTGATTTTTGGTAAATAATATCGCCTGACTGACCTATATTGCAGTGAGACAGTTTACGTAAACAAGATGGCGATGGTAAAGGATTAAAGCGGCGTAGGCTAAGGCAAAACTGAAGTTATAACTAGGGTAGTCACTAATGTTGATCATATCAGTATTTCAATTTTTATTAGAATATTCTATTTTTTTCCTAGACAGTTTAATTGATCTTCTTTGGTATTAATCGACCCCATTTCGACCCTCGTGAATTAATCGACCCCTGGAGAACTCTTATCGACCACTTTGGAAACCCCTAATTTACACTGATGATTTGGGTGAAGATGTGGGTGCCACTTTTGTAGTTTACTCTGACTTAGGCTGCGAGCTTCACAACACGTGCTTTTGTCTAGGTACACACTGCTAGGTAGACGTCATGCACAGGCGGAAACTTTAGCTATTTATAATAGCTCAATTCACATTACACGTAGGAAGGACAAAAACACCTCTTTCACTATCGCATTTATTCTGACAGTAGAGTAGCTTCAGGTTAAGTTCTTCGTGGCAGCCCAGCGACTGCGCAAAAAGAATCTTTGTACGCGCTTCAAACTCGCGAGCGACTTCTGTCCAGAGTGGATACTTGCTGTTTTCAAGATGGCAGCGTGAAGACGAATGCTATTACGGAAAATATGACAAGCATTAAAAGTAAATTTGAAAGGTAAATGTTATCACTATCTAGATACAGAACAAATATAAAGAATCTTTATAGAATAATAAATTAAAAAACATTTTATTTTTAAAACCGTTATATTTATAGTCTACAAGATCAGAAATTATTAAATTACGTAAAAGATTATTAATTTTAAAGTACATAAAACATACGAAGGCTATTTTTTAAATAAGGTCCGTTCTTTAATAACAAAAATATTGTAAATATCATAAAAAAATATTTTTTCCCATATTCTACATACTTTTTTCTACTTTTCTACCTAATTTCTATTTTTGTTGAAACGTTTGTCATACCGCTGAACAATTTTTTGTATTCCGACTTCAAAGAAATCTGCCGTATGTGACAAAGCCGAATCCATGACTGCAGTTTTCACTTCTTCATCGTCGTTGAACCGTTGGCCACCAAAAAACTTCTTTAAGCATCGAAGCAAATGATAATCACTGGGTGCACGGTCTGGACTGTAAGGTGGATGATCCAGTCGTTCCCATCCAAAAGAACTGATTAGACCTTGTGTTTGTGCAGAAACATGTGACCTTGCATTGCCATGGAGCAACATCAAACCGGAAGATAGTAGACCACCCCGCATGTTTTGTAAGGCACACCAGAATTTTCTCAAGGTCATGCAATATGTATTAGAATTGATTGTTGTGCCTCTCGACATAAAATCCACTAACAAAATCCCTTTCCTGTCCCAAAAGACAGTTGCCATAATTTTTCGTGCTGAAATGGACTGTTTGGCTTTGATTGGCGAAGATGTGTGTCGCCATTCCATTGACTGTTGCTTGGACTTAAAAGTCATGTGAAACATCCAAGTCTCATCTCCTGTAACGATGTAGTCCAACAATTTATCTCCTTCCTGATCATATTGAGTAAAAAACGATAAAGCACTGCCCAATTTTTTTGCTTTGTGATCGTGAGAAAGCAGTTTTAGAACCCATCGAGAACACAAATTTCTACAATTCAGTTTCTCCAAAACAATGGTATACAAAACTGATTTTAAATCTGTGGAAATTCAATTCATAACATTGAAATCGTGAATCGTCGGTCCTCTCGAACTTTGTTATCCATATCACAAACCAAATGTTCAGAAATCAGAGAAGGTCGGCCAGAGGTGGCTCATCATGCACGTTAACTCACCTGCCCTTGAACATTCTCACCCACTTTCGAACTTTACTGTCACTCATAGCATTATCACATCATTAGCAAGCACTTCACAAATCTGACGATGAATTTTCACTGCTGCCAAGTTTCTTGCACTCAAGAATCGAATAACAGATCGTATCTCATAGTCGGCAAATGACTCATTTTTTTTAAACATTATAAACTTTTACAGCTCAGCACGTAGACAGATGATACGCGCTGCAAATGGTATCTAAACGCGTGCAAAGCATGCTCGGAGCAGATGCACATACGCACTGCCGCAATCGCTCGTTATTCTTACTCTCATTCACAAATAGACCTTATTTAAAAAATAGCCTTCATATATACACAATTTATTTATTATTCGGTTTTTTTATTTACAAAATCAGCCACCATTTTTTTTCGGAAACGCTAGCAGTAGAAGCAGTGATAAAAAATGCTTGGTAGCTGCTTCCTCCACGTGCGTGTAGAAGCGTCATCTGGCGGTTGCTGCAAGCTAAACGCCGTTACTCTGGACAAGCACATTTGCTTGAATTAGTTTGTCCGCTCCGCTTAGAAGCGCGTTTACGCCCGCGGTCATTGGACGCTACCACGTAGGGCGTAACCTTACACAGGATTGCAATGTCTGATAGCCGCTTAAAACTCTCGAAAGGATTGCAGTAAATGAAGGAAATGAAGATGAAAATATTCTGGAAGTAAATAGTTCCAGTGGTAATAAAATTTGTCATGAGATGAAGTGAGAACTGGTCAGTGAGATTGGTACTCACAGCCTTGAAGAGAAGGTTTAAGCCTCTAAAAGGAGTAACAGTCCAGCTGCCAAAATGAAAGAGTAGAGTTTCCCGTTGAAAAGGTAGGGTTCCTGGAAGACGATGACATCAGCGTCGTACTTCTCGATAGTATTTATCAGGAGAAAAAAAGGGTTTTTGCCATTTTGAAGGTTAATTTGCAGAATTTTGAAACAATTATCAGACTGTGTGGTGATAGTGGAGGCGTTAGTAGCCATAATTAATTAAACTAACAGTGTTAAACTCGACTTTATTTGTTGTGGAGCACTGTGGATCAATGGCATTGTGATTTGTCCTCAGTTGCCTTTCCACTGATTGCCCCTTGTCCGCATTCTTACAGTTGTAAAAAGCCGATTTCAAGGGTCAAACACTATTTGTGCTGCGAAAAAAAGCCTAGGGATTGATCGGAATGTCTTTAATGATGCTGGAGGCAAATATGATACATGTTGTTACGAAACCTTTTATTTTTTACATAAAATAACTTTACAAACAAAACAGTCTGCTTTGAAGATTGGGCGACTGAGTGCAATGACCGTCGATTTTGTAGCATCGCTGGACCGTTGATGGTGGCGGTAATGTCTAAACCCCGGAGCTGAAACAACGTAGAGAGATGACGTGCTTAGTTAAGCACGTCATCTCTCTATTTTTTAAATAACGTAGAGTGATGACGTGCTTAACTAAGCACGTCATTACTCTACGTGAGTTCTTGGATATCGGGATGAGTCAGGACAATCCAGAGAGGATGCGACACAGACCAGGCTTAAATACACTAGGCGAAAATCGGCATTTTGAATTTGAGATTTAGGGTTTTTATAAGATTTTTCCGTCGAATCTCCTTTTGATTGGTCCCGTATCTCTTTCCTCGCTTCCCGATTGGTCTCCTTTTTGTATATCTAGGTAAAACCCAGACTCGTTTGGGTCACGAGAAAGGTCTGCTTCGTGGCATCTGTCCGATTCCTTTTGACGACTCTGACTAGAGTTTGTTGATAAAGCTATATTCTGTGCATTCAAAATTTAGCCTGTTGATTCCATTTCTGTGAATTTTTGGATTTTGATGACCATACGTAATATTTTTTTTTCTAACCGTCTATACCGTTTCGACTTTTAACCTAGATCGATTGTTTATGAGCGTGCGTGTCAGAATTCTAATCTTCCCTGGCCGACATTCCACCTGATCCGTTACGTCATTCGTCTTTGCGTATGTTTTAACTACAGCTTTTTATTTTCTTCTGCTCTTCCTTAAATAACTAACATGGCCTTTACTCAGACTTGACAGTAGTTTTTCCCTTTAATTAACATGTAAAAATTAAGTTTTAGTTTCGACCTGTTCTGAAACCTCACACAATTGATGCAACTTGTCAAGGCGCTGGCAGTCATGGAACCAATGCTGTTTGGCACAGCGACTGCATCTAAGCTCCCCCGGGCAATCCTTTGCATGGTGATTATATCCACGGCAGTTGTACCAGTGGACGACCAGAATATAATTGTATGCTTTAATTGGCCATTAGTCGCTGATACATGGTGAGTCAATAATAATCATGTGTCTGCAGTTTTCCTTCTTTCTCCATGTTTCTAGGGTTGTACTGATTCTGGTACAGGATAGAAATTCTTCTTTCCCTATTACTTGAAGGATTCATTTTGATCGTACGCACAAGAAAGTATTTCACTGTCTTTGATTAAGTTGGGGACTTTTGACAGAATTATCCTCGGCTGTCTCCCATTGAAGATGGTTCATTTAATTTTATTTTTAATGCTATCGATGTTGTTGATAGCCGTTGCCAGTTTTTCGTTTTCCTCATGAGTGCCCACTCTCAAACAGAGGCCGTCATTTTTAATTTCTCTGAGACATAACACTTACTTGAAGCTGCTGTGGTTTGATATTCTTCATAATGTTTTTTTTATCTTTTTGTAGTCCGATTTGGATTTGCTTTTATTGTCCCCCTTAATGTAAATGAGGACAGCGTTGCTTTCGATCGTTTCCTCTTTGTCAAGCTTCTTATCAAGGCTCTGTTTGATAACTTTAGTGGTGATGTTCGGTCGTATGTTGTTGTTTTTATTGACCACGGCAGCGTAGGAAATTTTATCAGCCTCTCTATCACTAGGCCAAGAATCGGCCTATAGTTTCGTGCGGAGTTCTTGTAGGATCCCGAAGGTATGGCCAAAACACACGTGTAACTGAAACACCCTGTCTCTGATCTCTTTCCTATCTTCGCTTTTCGGGTTTGAACGGCAGGACTCTGGTAGGAGGTCCAAAATCCTGCCTAAAGGTCCATTTACACACAACAGTAACCTGCCGGCACAGTGCAGTGAATTTTTGTCTGTGGGAAATCGTTAACCTAGTTTTAAACTACCCTGTCCAGACTCTGTCCAGACACAGCCACTGTCACAGCACTGTGCAGTGGCAGTGGCGTGACCGTATCTATTTGATTTATCTCATTCGAAATACATGGACATTGAGTACAAAATGAATATTTTCACTGTTTTTTTTAATAAAATATGATATGCATGTTTGGACATTCGAAAATGTTCAAAAAGTATAGATTCGTCATTTCAATTTTTTATAAAGAGTATGAAACTCCCATTCTGTTGATATTTTTTTTGTCAATGCTTGATGTACCCACTTGCGATGCTTTGTTGATCGCATTTATTTTTCTTTTTTATCCAAACATATACGGGATATTCCAATTTTCAACGCGAGTGTTGAGTGTTGAAGTCAAGAATTTGACGTCATCAACGACGTTCCAACTCGAGTACGAATTGCTTAGTTACCATAATTCCATTTTCAGCAAGATGGATTCCATTCAAATGTCTTACCAATTACGCACAATTCATTGGAAAGTAGCAGTCAACATATCTGTTGAGTGCGGAGTGTGTTGAGACAGCGTTGACAACAGCGCCACTTTAACGTTGAAAAAAGGAACGACTTTTAACGAACGTTGAGATCAGTGCTGAGTCAGCGTAGAAAATTGGAATGTCCTGATAGCTATCATAGCCTATTTATTTTCAGAAAAGTCCATAACCACACACTAACAGCAGGATCAAGTCACTATTATGTGTAAATACTTGTCCCTGTGCCGTGCTCGACGTCACTGTCACCAAACGGTCACTGTGCCGGCACGCCATTGCTGTGTGTAAATGGACCCTAAATGAGTGGTGGTGTCTTTGAGAATACTTTCCTCCAGTGATTAGACGACAACGATCAAATCGGGACGTAGTTTAGCTTCCACGAGGTCCGGACGGTCAGTAATTCAGAATCGGATGGTTCCAAAATAACGAGATAAAGACCAATAATAAGTTCAATAAATGACAAATCGAATGATTTTTAACACTAACGCGATCATTCAGTAGCAACGCAAGGATCAACCAAACAAGCGACTGAATTAGGGTCAGTTAGGGGATCCGGTTAGCAAGAGGCCAGGTCTAAGATTTTTGTTCTCCCGAAAGATATCGAACGCGATAACTCTAAAAGTAATCGACGTAGACAAACGAAGCTTTAACAGAATAGGTATATTAAAGCCCTCTATCTGGTGTATAAAAATCACAGCGGATGGCCTAATAGATCGGCCAAAAATACGGCCAAAATTTGGCCAGTAACAGTTGTGATATTCCACGAAATAAATAACGGAACATCACGAGAAACACATTGTACAAACCACGTTGATATAACGAGGAAAACTACAGATCGATGTTAAACCAAAAGCGCTTACAGCCGGAGAAATAGTTGTCCGCATATCCACAACATAATTTGTTTATGTAAAGCTGGACAATCGGAAATTTTTTATGCCAATTATTAACAGTCGAATCCACTCTCTGTCGATTACACTTACGAGTTTCTCCGAATTCTGATTTTCGAATAATCGTCCGTTTTCACGTGGGAATGGATTAAAACTTATATCGGGCTTCCGTATGATTTTGGAATTCAATTCAAAATCTTTGTTTTTTCCTATTGCTATTCATCTTTACTTCCGACAATACACAAGGAGGATTCAAACGACTCAGATAAAATACTTTTGTTTTTAAACACCAGAGGGTGAACATCCGGTAAAAAATGCGAATACACGGTTCACAAAAAGTGATGCAAAAACGCAAAGTATCCTTCGCTAGAGCTAATAAAACAACCTAGGTTTTTGAAGCAATGAAAAATGAATAAAAAACTTGTCTTATATGCGAGTAAATACTGTCGATCATGCAACTTAATATGTTTATCGTATATTTTATAATTTCCAAAATAAATCGATTAAATTATACATTAATTGTAATAGTTTAGAGTAGTTATAAATGTTATAGTAGTTATAATAGCAAATTGATAGATATTTTATACATATCTAACATTTTTATTTTTATTACAGAGTCTTTACAGTGTTTCATATTTAGTTACAACGCCTTTCCTCATCATTACAACCATAGCGATATTGTGGCAATATTACGGATGGACTATTCTAGTTGGATATTCGGTGATATTTCTCTTCATTCCTATACAATTAGCTTTGGGTAAACTATATTCGAAACTGAGGTAATTATTTATTTAAATTATGCAATTGTATAATTCTGTATCTATAAATAAAACAAAAAATAATGCAGTATTTAGTAACAGTTCATTTCAATGCTCGCGTACATGTGACCCATGCAATTTTCCTGCGAATTTTACTTAGAAATTTAGTCCTAGGGAGACTTTAAAATTGCAGCGTTTGCTTTTTGTTTTTGAATTAAATTACTCAAAAATAAATATAAGCGCATTTTCTCTGACTCATGAATAAACCATGCAATAAAATTCTAAGGCCACCTGCTATTCATAATCTTTTGTGTTACAAACACGTGTTATAACATTCTAATTATAGTATTTGAATTTCATTTAATGAAAAGTCTTTACTAACAGTTTTATGACTTGATAAATTATTTGTAAAAAAATTACAGGCAAAAAGTAAAACCAAAGCGGAAAAAAAATTTTAAGAGCACTCCATGGTTGCATTTTTTTCATTGAAATTATAATTCGGCGTCTGCATTATGTAAATTTTTAGGCTTGAGTGACTATGAAAAGGTTTAACTTGATGCTCTGGCTAGCCCTAGCTGATCCACTCATGTTACAGCTAATGAAATTCAGACGTCAACGACTGCCATGGCCATGACTTATGATTAGTATTCAATGAAATATATCTAACGGAAAAACTAATCCCACGGCTTCTAAAAAGCTTGGTTTTTCTCACAAATGCGAAAAATCGGTAGTCACCCGATCAACGGGAATCGAAAAACTGAGTTTTGTCAAATTAAAGCTGAATTAGGGCCCAAGTGACATTCGAGAACTGTCCTCCGAACGTTTTAAGAAACACACCAACCAGAGTACGGCAAAAGAAAGGGCAAACCACCTTTGACATCAAGGTGGATGGAGCAACGTTTAGAGTTTAGCAGATGGAAAATGGCATAGGCTGAAAAATGGTCTTCAGTTATCTACAGCGATTAAAAGAGATTCAATATGGATAGACCGAGCTATCGACGATACTGGAGAGACACACTAGCTAAGAAATGGAGACGTACTTGAAGCGGCAACTTTGTGCTGGATCCATGATTATTTGAGCTGCTGTTTCATGGTGCAGAAAAACTGACATCGTGATTGTTGATGGTCACAAGAAGGCTACAGAGTACCAGCAAATGCGTCAATAGCGTCTCCTTTCAGTTGTAGACCTTGGGGACGAAAAATAGATATTTCAACAAGATACCACATTTGTTCACTTGACTAGGAGCTCCCTAATATGGTTTATAAATCACAATTTTCACGTTATTCCGTGGCTTCAAAGAAGTCCTTATGTTAATCGGATTGAAATCCTCTGGTCACAGCTTTCCAGGATGGTTTGTGATGTTTCTTGGCAATTTCAAAAGACCAGTTCACTCGCGATCGCCATTAATTTGCTTGGTTCAAGTGCTCATTTCCTCAGTCCGAAATATTTGAATGTATTTTAAATAAAGGAATAAAACTATGTTTTAAAATACAATTTATAAACGAAAATTATTAGAAAAATTGACTAAAAGTTATCAAAAAATCATTTACTTGTCATTTCGTATTCATAAATCATTTCATCGAACATTAGTAACCACGCATTAATTTAATTGTATTATTCTTGCATTATAACAAGTAGAGCAGAATCATTCAAATCACCACTAAAAAATAGATATTCAATCTATTCTGCATCACTAGTTATATTTTGCAACAGGTAATTTTAAAAACTCTACTGAATATTTACAAATAAAATATAATTAGTAACTAAATGTTGATTAAATAATTATATATTTTTTCTATTTGTATTTAAAACATAATTTTTTATGATAGATTACAAGCAGCTATATTGGGAGATGAAAGATTGAACCTGTTGAACGAAATAATTGCTGATATGAAATTGATTAAAATGTACACCTGGGAATTGCCATATTCTGCATTACTTAAAAAAATCAGAGTGTAAGTGGATTCAAATATAGTAAAACCTGTCTAAAAGCGAACAGGAATAAAAAGAATCTAGCAAAAGAAAAAATTTACAAAATGAAATGTTTTTCTATAAGAAAAGGAACTGTAAAAAAAATGGAAACCTGCCCAATCAATAGGAAGAGAATTTGATGTGGTTCTAATTTACACAGATTTTACTGCAGTTCTACGATGTTAATTTGAATTAAAAACTCATATTATTAAGTAATAAATTTAATAAGTACTTTCAAATTTATCCGGTATATTTTAATTAATTGTTTATATTTGCAGGAACGAAATGAAAAAAGTTCGATTGTTTTTATATGCAAAGGGAATGTCGTCAATGTTGGCTTATCCTATATCAAAATTATTTACTTCCCTTGCATATCTTGCATTCTTTTTTAATGGAGGACAATTAAATGCCGAAATTGCATTTATCACTATGACTGTTTCTTTGTACATCTTTATGAGCACTGTTAGCTTGTTTTCACAAGCAATAAATAATTTTGCAGAAATTTTGGTTTCACTGAAGCGACTTCAGGTAATGTGTTCTTTTCATATATTGTTATCGTAAATATGTAGGCCTATATATTATACAATATTAATGTTGATGTTATTCTACAGTGTTAATACTTAATCTAAAAAATTATTATTTTAAATTAGAATTACAAGTACAGGAACTTGCTTATCAAATGGCGTGGCGTGACATTTGATGTGTTTCTGTAAGAAGCCAACTTCCAGGGCAATCAGTTAATTGTGCGTCTGTGATAGTCTAGGGTGTATTCGTATTCGATTGTTCAATAAGGCAGTAAAAACTGTAGATTTCTCTAAATATATTTTTAATATCACAAATACAGTACATTCTGAATCGCTAACCATGATATAAGGGCTAAAATTAAAAATAAAATTATAAAAACACACTTGATGAAATAAAGTGTGGTGGATATACATACCTAGTTCAAAATATTTTCAATTGTATGAATATACTTTTAAAGAAAATTATATTTAAATATAGCTTTGTAAAGAAACGAACATAAAAATAACAAAATATTCTTTACTTTTTAAAGCTTAAAACAATCCACTTAGTCAAACAGCTCTCTACAAGTGGCTCATGGATGGAATCAGAGACTGTCCTGGAAAGTGTGCAGTGTGTGCATGCACGCGGGCTGCCAAATCCCGAGGGGCCTGATACTGGTCAATGTCAAATGCCTCTTTGTCTCTTCACTAGTATACCTCAAAGGACGCAACAGGGTTGATCTAAATTTTAAACGTTTCTCACCGTAGCTGTAAAAATCTACATATGCTAAATATTTATAGATTAATAGATTGTCCGTCATTTCTTTTCTAACTTATTCGTTTTAGGACATAGTGTCCTTGGAAATTTTCAAAATTTATAACTTTTCAGTCACTGTCATTGAATTGGAAAAATATTTCTTTATTACATCTAATATTACGAAGAGATTGGTACTGTACTCAGCTAGAGATTGGTTCAGTTAACCTTTTGTTTAAGTAAAATTACGGCTCTTTGAGTAAGGTTTTATTTATGTTCCTAATTCCCTAATCTCTTAATTATTTAACTACTTCTTAAGTAGAAATAAGTTGAAACCGGTTACTTTGTACTTGAATATTTGTTGTCTTGAGAAAATAGTGGAAAGAATTTTTTTATGACAACGGAATAAATTTTATTATCAAAATTTTTATGATAAATCGTAAAATTAAGGAAAAACAATTTTAGACGGTTTTTTGTACTTTGTGCATCTCATTCATTACATTTAGTTGTAAATGATGCTGCCAAAGTAACAGTTAATTTTTTAACATTGTACAAGGATTGTACACGTTTTTTTTCATTTCCTTATAGACGGGCATACTAAATCGTAATATCACAAGTTTAACATTGAAATCTGTAAGTAATACAAGATGGGCAAGCAGAATAAAAGCAGAATAAATATATCAAATTTTTTAATGGATTTTTTAAAAACTCCTGTCAACTATACAGAACTATCATAAAAACATATCAGTAAATTCCTATCGGTTGGGTTAAGTTATAAATCTACTCACAATTCATATTATGGGGAGAGTGCGGCCAAATATCTAGTACACAAAGGCTATCATCCTAGAACCAGTCCTGGATTGAATCATTGGAAGTGTTATACGATATTTTGTTGCTCTGTATGGCGCATGCACACGCACAAATGCGTATAATATGGCTGCTTTACACAATTCAGATATTTTCGCCATGGAAGGTGTCCTGTATTGGACAATACTTTTAGGGGCGGCACTTTTAGCGAGCGGCAAAATTTCACAATAAATAATAATAATATCTTGTAAAAATTTGAACCATTTCATTTCATATTTTTGTCGCAGCTACGATTCGGACCGATTGAAATGAGCACGGAACTTTTCATTATTTATTTTGTGACGAAACTGAATTTTGTCTTTTAAATTGAGATACGGGACGGCGAAATTTTCCTCCACCCTGGGCGGCTGACATCCACGCTATGCCACTGAATACAGCGCCACTTAAATTAGAATATACAATAACAATCTTATCGTTTTTTACATGTAGTATAGAAATTTGTAATAGGATACAGCGGTTATAATAAAATATTAATTTTAATTAATTCAAAGTACGTTAAAATATGAAAATAATTGCACAATATGTATTTATATTTTAGAATATACAAGGGAAGCAGCGTTTCCACCGCTTCCAAGGACGGCACGCCACTGCTGCCTATTACAAAACCCGAATAAAAAATTAATCTGTTAATTAGACTTAATTGAGCTGCGATTTGAATAAGTTGTAGACCTATAAATTCTCTTTGTCTGTCTGTTGTCTGTTCATCTGTAATTACAAGAACGGAGTTAGACAAATGAACGACGGAAATAGATGTTAACACCATTGCGACAGCAGGCCCAGTATAACTATATAGGAACCTCTACTGCAAAGGAACGTCCAATGAAATTCAATTCAAATCTTTTTTCCTTAAACGTGTTAGATAGATGACCGGCACGACTCTATTGTTAAAGGAAAAGTATTGTGAGAATACGGACAAGGGTCAAGGCCCTCTAATCGTCAGATCCTTTGGACCCGCTCACTTTGTCACTGGATGCCTTATTCTAACAGAATCCGAGTGGTAAAAGTCTGTGTGTGGTTCAGTTGTGCATAGTCAATAAATACTAGACTAAGAAGGTCATATAATATAAAAATGAACAATTTTATCAAAGAAGACCAAATTAATAAGGACACATAATAAAACAACAAAACATAAAACATATGTCTAATCTATGACTATAATCAGTATTAGAGAGAGATTACAATCAATTGAAACCAATAATACCTCTCTCAAAGGGTAGAGTTTCTCTCCTGTAGGGAGCATGACTTTATGGACAGCCTGTTGGGGTTTGGAGAGGGACTATCTTCTTCTATGCATGGCCATGTCCCGAACTCCCCGAGTAATACAACACTCGGCCTTTTTATTCAGATTTTCGACCAATGATCGTAATCGAAAAACTTCATCTGAAGGAATGAGTCGTTGTGTCATTCAGACAGATGTTTTGAAAAATGTAAGATCAGGGGGTGGTGGAAGGAAGCGAAACATCCTCATTTCTCAATAAAGGTTGCATTATAGAGCTTGTTTTCATAATGTTGAAGTTTTGTAACCTTTTTTGGTTTAAAATTTTAATAAAATTTTTAACAAATGTAACTTAACGTGTATTGATATAGAGTGCAAATTATGCAAATTAGATGGGTACCNCGTAATCGAAAAACTTCATCTGAAGGAATGAGTCGTTGTGTCATTCAGACAGATGTTTTGAAAAGTGTAAGATCAGGGGGTGGTGGAAGGAAGCGAAACATCCTCATTTCTCAATAAAGGTTGCATTATAGAGCTTGTTTTCATAATGTTGAAGTTTTGTAACCTTTTTTGGTTTAAAATTTTAATAAAATTTTTAACAAATGTAACTTAACGTGTATTGATATAGAGTGCAAATTATGCAAATTAGATGGGTACCATCCAGACTCTCACAGTATGATGTACAGGGGTAAGTCACTGCTAATTTAATGTGAAGAGCATATATTTTAAATTAAATGAATTCAAAATATGATTTAAAATTAGCAGTCCGGAATTGTGACGATCTTTCAATAAATAATTGCTGATTATTATCTATTTTTCCATCCAGGTATAAAAAAATCCAAAGAGACAGCTCGAGTCCGATTCAAATTAATTATGAATGAAATGTTTGCATTTTATTACAAGAGTTGTTTTGTCACACAATGTTTCTATTCGCAATGTATACTGACAAAAACTATCAAAATTACTTTTGACATCAAAGTATAAAAAAATTTTACAGGTTTTCTTTATTTTCNGGTAGCTGCTTCCTCCACGTGCGTGTAGAAGCGTCATCTGGCGGTTGCTGCAAGCTAAACGCCGTTACTCTGGACAAGCACATTTGCTTGAATTAGTTTGTCCGCTCCGCTTAGAAGCGCGTTTACGCCCGCGGTCATTGGACGCTACCACGTAGGGCGTAACCTTACACAGGATTGCAAAGTCTGATAGCCGCTTAAAACTCTCGAAAGGATTGCAGTAAATGAAGGAAATGAAGATGAAAATATTCTGGAAGTAAATAGTTCCAGTGGTAATAAAATTTGTCATGAGATGAAGTGAGAACTGGTCAGTGAGATTGGTACTCACAGCCTTGAAGAGAAGGTTTAAGCCTCTAAAAGGAGTAACAGTCCAGCTGCCAAAATGAAAGAGTAGAGTTTCCCGTTGAAAAGGTAGGGTTCCTGGAAGACGATGACATCAGCGTCGTACTTCTCGATAGTATTTATCAGGAGAAAAAAAGGGTTTTTGCCATTTTGAAGGTTAATTTGCAGAATTTTGAAACAATTATCAGACTGTGTGGTGATAGTGGAGGCGTTAGTAGCCATAATTAATTAAACTAACAGTGTTAAACTCGACTTTATTTGTTGTGGAGCACTGTGGATCAATGGCATTGTGATTTGTCCTCAGTTGCCTTTCCACTGATTGCCCCTTGTCCGCATTCTTACAGTTGTAAAAAGCCGATTTCAAGGGTCAAACACTATTTGTGCTGCGAAAAAAAGCCTAGGGATTGATCGGAATGTCTTTAATGATGCTGGAGGCAAATATGATACATGTTGTTACGAAACCTTTTATTTTTTACATAAAATAACTTTACAAACAAAACAGTCTGCTTTGAAGATTGGGCGACTGAGTGCAATGACCGTCGATTTTGTAGCATCGCTGGACCGTTGATGGTGGCGGTAATGTCTAAACCCCGGAGCTGAAACAACGTAGAGAGATGACGTGCTTAGTTAAGCACGTCATCTCTCTATTTTTTAAATAACGTAGAGTGATGACGTGCTTAACTAAGCACGTCATTACTCTACGTGAGTTCTTGGATATCGGGATGAGTCGGGACAATCCAGAGAGGATGCGACACAGACCAGGCTTAAATACACTAGGCGAAAATCGGCATTTTGAATTTGAGATTTAGGGTTTTTATAAGATTTTTCCGTCGAATCTCCTTTTGATTGGTCCCGTATCTCTTTCCTCGCTTCCCGATTGGTCTCCTTTTTGTATATCTAGGTAAAACCCAGACTCGTTTGGGTCACGAGAAAGGTCTGCTTCGTGGCATCTGTCCGATTCCTTTTGACGACTCTGACTAGAGTTTGTTGATAAAGCTATATTCTGTGCATTCAAAATTTAGCCTGTTGATTCCATTTCTGTGAATTTTTGGATTTTGATGACCATACGTAATATTTTTTTTTCTAACCGTCTATACCGTTTCGACTTTTAACCTAGATCGATTGTTTATGAGCGTGCGTGTCAGAATTCTAATCTTCCCTGGCCGACATTCCACCTGATCCGTTACGTCATTCGTCTTTGCGTATGTTTTAACTACAGCTTTTTATTTTCTTCTGCTCTTCCTTAAATAACTAACATGGCCTTTACTCAGACTTGACAGTAGTTTTTCCCTTTAATTAACATGTAAAAATTAAGTTTTAGTTTCGACCTGTTCTGAAACCTCACACAATTGATGCAACTTGTCAAGGCGCTGGCAGTCATGGAACCAATGCTGTTTGGCACAGCGACTGCATCTAAGCTCCCCCGGGCAATCCTTTGCATGGTGATTATATCCACGGCAGTTGTACCAGTGGACGACCAGAATATAATTGTATGCTTTAATTGGCCATTAGTCGCTGATACATGGTGAGTCAATAATAATCATGTGTCTGCAGTTTTCCTTCTTTCTCCATGTTTCTAGGGTTGTACTGATTCTGGTACAGGATAGAAATTCTTCTTTCCCTATTACTTGAAGGATTCATTTTGATCGTACGCACAAGAAAGTATTTCACTGTCTTTGATTAATTTGGGGACTTTTGACAGAATTATCCTCGGCTGTCTCCCATTGAAGATGGTTCATTTAATTTTATTTTTAATGCTATCGATGTTGTTGATAGCCGTTGCCAGTTTTTCGTTTTCCTCATGAGTGCCCACTCTCAAACAGAGGCCGTCATTTTTAATTTCTCTGAGACATAACACTTACTTGAAGCTGCTGTGGTTTGATATTCTTCATAATGTTTTTTTTATCTTTTTGTAGTCCGATTTGGATTTGCTTTTATTGTCCCCCTTAATGTAAATGAGGACAGCGTTGCTTTCGATCGTTTCCTCTTTGTCAAGCTTCTTATCAAGGCTCTGTTTGATAACTTTAGTGGTGATGTTCGGTCGTATGTTGTTGTTTTTATTGACCACGGCAGCGTAGGAAATTTTATCAGCCTCTCTATCACTAGGCCAAGAATCGGCCTATAGTTTCGTGCGGAGTTCTTGTAGGATCCCGAAGGTATGGCCAAAACACACGTGTAACTGAAACACCCTGTCTCTGATCTCTTTCCTATCTTCGCTTTTCGGGTTTGAACGGCAGGACTCTGGTAGGAGGTCCAAAATCCTGCCTAAAGGTCCATTTACACACAACAGTAACCTGCCGGCACAGTGCAGTGAATTTTTGTCTGTGGGAAATCGTTAACCTAGTTTTAAACTACCCTGTCCAGACTCTGTCCAGACACAGCCACTGTCACAGCACTGTGCAGTGGCAGTGGCGTGACCGTATCTATTTGATTTATCTCATTCGAAATACATGGACATTGAGTACAAAATGAATATTTTCACTGTTTTTTTTAATAAAATATGATATGCATGTTTGGACATTCGAAAATGTTCAAAAAGTATAGATTCGTCATTTCAATTTTTTATAAAGAGTATGAAACTCCCATTCTGTTGATATTTTTTTTGTCAATGCTTGATGTACCCACTTGCGATGCTTTGTTGATCGCATTTATTTTTCTTTTTTATCCAAACATATACGGGATATTCCAATTTTCAACGCGAGTGTTGAGTGTTGAAGTCAAGAATTTGACGTCATCAACGACGTTCCAACTCGAGTACGAATTGCTTAGTTCCCATAATTCCATTTTCAGCAAGATGGATTCCATTCAAATGTCTTACCAATTACGCACAATTCATTGGAAAGTAGCAGTCAACATATCTGTTGAGTGCGGAGTGTGTTGAGACAGCGTTGACAACAGCGCCACTTTAACGTTGAAAAAAGGAACGACTTTTAACGAACGTTGAGATCAGTGCTGAGTCAGCGTAGAAAATTGGAATGTCCTGATAGCTATCATAGCCTATTTATTTTCAGAAAAGTCCATAACCACACACTAACAGCAGGATCAAGTCACTATTATGTGTAAATACTTGTCCCTGTGCCGTGCTCGACGTCACTGTCACCAAACGGTCACTGTGCCGGCACGCCATTGCTGTGTGTAAATGGACCCTAAATGAGTGGTGGTGTCTTTGAGAATACTTTCCTCCAGTGATTAGACGACAACGATCAAATCGGGACGTAGTTTAGCTTCCACGAGGTCCGGACGGTCAGTAATTCAGAATCGGATGGTTCCAAAATAACGAGATAAAGACCAATAATAAGTTCAATAAATGACAAATCGAATGATTTTTAACACTAACGCGATCATTCAGTAGCAACGCAAGGATCAACCAAACAAGCGACTGAATTAGGGTCAGTTAGGGGATCCGGTTAGCAAGAGGCCAGGTCTAAGATTTTTGTTCTCCCGAAAGATATCGAACGCGATAACTCTAAAAGTAATCGACGTAGACAAACGAAGCTTTAACAGAATAGGTATATTAAAGCCCTCTATCTGGTGTATAAAAATCACAGCGGATGGCCTAATAGATCGGCCAAAAATACGGCCAAAATTTGGCCAGTAACAGTTGTGATATTCCACGAAATAAATAACGGAACATCACGAGAAACACATTGTACAAACCACGTTGATATAACGAGGAAAACTACAGATCGATGTTAAACCAAAAGCGCTTACAGCCGGAGAAATAGTTGTCCGCATATCCACAACATAATTTGTTTATGTAAAGCTGGACAATCGGAAATTTTTTATGCCAATTATTAACAGTCGAATCCACTCTCTGTCGATTACACTTACGAGTTTCTCCGAATTCTGATTTTCGAATAATCGTCCGTTTTCACGTGGGAATGGATTAAAACTTATATCGGGCTTCCGTATGATTTTGGAATTCAATTCAAAATCTTTGTTTTTTCCTATTGCTATTCATCTTTACTTCCGACAATACACAAGGAGGATTCAAACGACTCAGATAAAATACTTTTGTTTTTAAACACCAGAGGGTGAACATCCGGTAAAAAATGCGAATACACGGTTCACAAAAAGTGATGCAAAAACGCAAAGTATCCTTCGCTAGAGCTAATAAAACAACCTAGGTTTTTGAAGCAATGAGAAATGAATAAAAAACTTGTCTTATATGCGAGTAAATACTGTCGATCATGCAACTTAATATGTTTATCGTATATTTTATAATTTCCAAAATAAATCGATTAAATTATACATTAATTGTAATAGTTTAGAGTAGTTATAAATGTTATAGTAGTTATAATAGCAAATTGATCGATATTTTATACATATCTAACATTTTTATTTTTATTACAGAGTCTTTACAGTGTTTCATATTTAGTTACAACGCCTTTCCTCATCATTACAACCATAGCGATATTGTGGCAATATTACGGATGGACTATTCTAGTTGGATATTCGGTGATATTTCTCTTCATTCCTATACAATTAGCTTTGGGTAAACTATATTCGAAACTGAGGTAATTATTTATTTAAATTATGCAATTGTATAATTCTGTATCTATAAATAAAACAAAAAATAATGCAGTATTTAGTAACAGTTCATTTCAATGCTCGCGTACATGTGACCCATGCAATTTTCCTGCGAATTTTACTTAGAAATTTAGTCCTAGGGAGACTTTAAAATTGCAGCGTTTGCTTTTTGTTTTTGAATTAAATTACTCAAAAATAAATATAAGCGCATTTTCTCTGACTCATGAATAAACCATGCAATAAAATTCTAAGGCCACCTGCTATTCATAATCTTTTGTGTTACAAACACGTGTTATAACGTTCTAATTATAGTATTTGAATTTCATTTAATGAAAAGTCTTTACTAACAGTTTTATGACTTGATAAATTATTTGTAAAAAAATTACAGGCAAAAAGTAAAACCAAAGCGGAAAAAAAATTTTAAGAGCACTCCTTTATGGTTGCATTTTTTTCATTGAAATTATAATTCGGCGTCTGCATTATGTAAATTTTTAGGCTTGAGTGACTATGAAAAGGTTTAACTTGATGCTCTGGCTAGCCCTAGCTGATCCACTCATGTTACAGCTAATGAAATTCAGACGTCAAAGACTGCCATGGCCATGACTTATGATTAGTATTCAATGAAATATATCTAACGGAAAAACTAATCCCACGGCTTCTAAAAAGCTTGGTTTTTCTCACAAATGCGAAAAATCGGTAGTCACCCGATCAACGGGAATTGAAAAACTGAGTTTTGTCAAATTAAAGCTGAATTAGGGCCCAAGTGACATTCGAGAACTGTCCTCCGAACGTTTTAAGAAACACACCAACCAGAGTACGGCAAAAGAAAGGGCAAACCACCTTTGACATCAAGGTGGATGGAGCAACGTTTAGAGTTTAGCAGATGGAAAATGGCATAGGCTGAAAAATGGTCTTCAGTTATCTACAGCGATTAAAAGAGATTCAATATGGATAGACCGAGCTATCGACGATACTGGAGAGACACACTAGGTAAGAAATGGAGACGTACTTGAAGCGGCAACTTTGTGCTGGATCCATGATTATTTGAGCTGCTGTTTCATGGTGCAGAAAAACTGACATCGTGATTGTTGATGGTCACAAGAAGGCTACAGAGTACCAGCAAATGCGTCAATAGCGTCTCCTTTCAGTTGTAGACCTTGGGGACAAAAATAGATATTTCAACAAGATACCACATTTGTTCACTTGACTAGGAGCTCCCTAATATGGTTTATAAATCACAATTTTCACGTTATTCCGTGGCTTCAAAGAAGTCCTTATGTTAATCGGATTGAAATCCTCTGGTCACAGCTTTCCAGGATGGTTTGTGATGTTTCTTGGCAATTTCAAAAGACCAGTTCACTCGCGATCGCCATTAATTTGCTTGGTTCAAGTGCTCATTTCCTCAGTCCGAAATATTTGAATGTATTTTAAATAAAGGAATAAAACTATGTTTTAAAATACAATTTATAAACGAAAATTATTAGAAAAATTGACTAAAAGTTATCAAAAAATCATTTACTTGTCATTTCGTATTCATAAATCATTTCATCGAACATTAGTAACCACGCATTAATTTAATTGTATTATTCTTGCATTATAACAAGTAGAGCAGAATCATTCAAATCACCACTAAAAAATAGATATTCAATCTATTCTGCATCACTAGTTATATTTTGCAACAGGTAATTTTAAAAACTCTACTGAATATTTACAAATAAAATATAATTAGTAACTAAATGTTGATTAAATAATTATATATTTTTTCTATTTGTATTTAAAACATAATTTTTTATGATAGATTACAAGCAGCTATATTGGGAGATGAAAGATTGAACCTGTTGAACGAAATAATTGCTGATATGAGATTGATTAAAATGTACACCTGGGAATTGCCATATTCTGCATTACTTAAAAAAATCAGAGTGTAAGTGGATTCAAATATAGTAAAACCTGTCTAAAAGCGAACAGGAATAAAAAGAATCTAGCAAAAGAAAAAATTTACAAAATGAAATGTTTTTCTATAAGAAAAGGAACTGTAAAAAAAATGGAAACCTGCCCAATCAATAGGAAGAGAATTTGATGTGGTTCTAATTTACACAGATTTTACTGCAGTTCTACGATGTTAATTTGAATTAAAAACTCATATTATTAAGTAATAAATTTAATAAGTACTTTCAAATTTATCCGGTATATTTTAATTAATTGTTTATATTTGCAGGAACGAAATGAAAAAAGTTCGATTGTTTTTATATGCAAAGGGAATGTCGTCAATGTTGGCTTATCCTATATCAAAATTATTTACTTCCCTTGCATATCTTGCATTCTTTTTTAATGGAGGACAATTAAATGCCGAAATTGCATTTATCACTATGACTGTTTCTTTGTACATCTTTATGAGCACTGTTAGCTTGTTTTCACAAGCAATAAATAATTTTGCAGAAATTTTGGTTTCACTGAAGCGACTTCAGGTAATGTGTTCTTTTCATATATTGTTATCGTAAATATGTAGGCCTATATATTATACAATATTAATGTTGATGTTATTCTACAGTGTTAATACTTAATCTAAAAAATTATTATTTTAAATTAGAATTACAAGTACAGGAACTTGCTTATCAAATGGCGTGGCGTGACATTTGATGTGTTTCTGTAAGAAGCCAACTTCCAGGGCAATCAGTTAATTGTGCGTCTGTGATAGTCTAGGGTGTATTCGTATTCGATTGTTCAATAAGGCAGTAAAAACTGTAGATTTCTCTAAATATATTTTTAATATCACAAATACAGTACATTCTGAATCGCTAACCATGATATAAGGGCTAAAATTAAAAATAAAATTATAAAAACACACTTGATGAAATAAAGTGTGGTGGATATACATACCTAGTTCAAAATATTTTCAATTGTATGAATATACTTTTAAAGAAAATTATATTTAAATATAGCTTTGTAAAGAAACGAACATAAAAATAACAAAATATTCTTTACTTTTTAAAGCTTAAAACAATCCACTTAGTCAAACAGCTCTCTACAAGTGGCTCATGGATGGAATCAGAGACTGTCCTGGAAAGTGTGCAGTGTGTGCATGCACGCGGGCTGCCAAATCCCGAGGGGCCTGATACTGGTCAATGTCAAATGCCTCTTTGTCTCTTCACTAGTATACCTCAAAGGACGCAACAGGGTTGATCTAAATTTTAAACGTTTCTCACCGTAGCTGTAAAAATCTACATATGCTAAATATTTATAGATTAATAGATTGTCCGTCATTTCTTTTCTAACTTATTCGTTTTAGGACATAGTGTCCTTGGAAATTTTCAAAATTTATAACTTTTCAGTCACTGTCATTGAATTGGAAAAATATTTCTTTATTACATCTAATATTACGAAGAGATTGGTACTGTACTCAGCTAGAGATTGGTTCAGTTAACCTTTTGTTTAAGTAAAATTACGGCTCTTTGAGTAAGGTTTTATTTATGTTCCTAATTCCCTAATCTCTTAATTATTTAACTACTTCTTAAGTAGAAATAAGTTGAAACCGGTTACTTTGTACTTGAATATTTGTTGTCTTGAGAAAATAGTGGAAAGAATTTTTTTATGACAACGGAATAAATTTTATTATCAAAATTTTTATGATAAATCGTAAAATTAAGGAAAAACAATTTTAGACGGTTTTTTGTACTTTGTGCATCTCATTCATTACATTTAGTTGTAAATGATGCTGCCAAAGTAACAGTTAATTTTTTAACATTGTACAAGGATTGTACACGTTTTTTTTCATTTCCTTATAGACGGGCATACTAAATCGTAATATCACAAGTTTAACATTGAAATCTGTAAGTAATACAAGATGGGCAAGCAGAATAAAAGCAGAATAAATATATCAAATTTTTTAATGGATTTTTTAAAAACTCCTGTCAACTATACAGAACTATCATAAAAACATATCAGTAAATTCCTATCGGTTGGGTTAAGTTATAAATCTACTCACAATTCATATTATGGGGAGAGTGCGGCCAAATATCTAGTACACAAAGGCTATCATCCTAGAACCAGTCCTGGATTGAATCATTGGAAGTGTTATACGATATTTTGTTGCTCTGTATGGCGCATGCACACGCACAAATGCGTATAATATGGCTGCTTTACACAATTCAGATATTTTCGCCATGGAAGGTGTCCTGTATTGGACAATACTTTTAGGGGCGGCACTTTTAGCGAGCGGCAAAATTTCACAATAAATAATAATAATATCTTGTAAAAATTTGAACCATTTCATTTCATATTTTTGTCGCAGCTACGATTCGGACCGATTGAAATGAGCACGGAACTTTTCATTATTTATTTTGTGACGAAACTGAATTTTGTCTTTTAAATTGAGATACGGGACGGCGAAATTTTCCTCCACCCTGGGCGGCTGACATCCACGCTATGCCACTGAATACAGCGCCACTTAAATTAGAATATACAATAACAATCTTATCGTTTTTTACATGTAGTATAGAAATTTGTAATAGGATACAGCGGTTATAATAAAATATTAATTTTAATTAATTCAAAGTACGTTAAAATATGAAAATAATTGCACAATATGTATTTATATTTTAGAATATACAAGGGAAGCAGCGTTTCCACCGCTTCCAAGGACGGCACGCCACTGCTGCCTATTACAAAACCCGAATAAAAAATTAATCTGTTAATTAGACTTAATTGAGCTGCGATTTGAATAAGTTGTAGACCTATAAATTCTCTTTGTCTGTCTGTTGTCTGTTCATCTGTAATTACAAGAACGGAGTTAGACAAATGAACGACGGAAATAGATGTTAACACCATTGCGACAGCAGGCCCAGTATAACTATATAGGAACCTCTACTGCAAAGGAACGTCCAATGAAATTCAATTCAAATCTTTTTTCCTTAAACGTGTTAGATAGATGACCGGCACGACTCTATTGTTAAAGGAAAAGTATTGTGAGAATACGGACAAGGGTCAAGGCCCTCTAATCGTCAGATCCTTTGGACCCGCTCACTTTGTCACTGGATGCCTTATTCTAACAGAATCCGAGTGGTAAAAGTCTGTGTGTGGTTCAGTTGTGCATAGTCAATAAATACTAGACTAAGAAGGTCATATAATATAAAAATGAACAATTTTATCAAAGAAGACCAAATTAATAAGGACACATAATAAAACAACAAAACATAAAACATATGTCTAATCTATGACTATAATCAGTATTAGAGAGAGATTACAATCAATTGAAACCAATAATACCTCTCTCAAAGGGTAGAGTTTCTCTCCTGTAGGGAGCATGACTTTATGGACAGCCTGTTGGGGTTTGGAGAGGGACTATCTTCTTCTATGCATGGCCATGTCCCGAACTCCCCGAGTAATACAACACTCGGCCTTTTTATTCAGATTTTCGACCAATGATCGTAATCGAAAAACTCCATCTGAAGGAATGAGTCGTTGTGTCATTCAGACAGATGTTTTGAAAAATGTAAGATCAGGGGGTGGTGGAAGGAAGCGAAACATCCTCATTTCTCAATAAAGGTTGCATTATAGAGCTTGTTTTCATAATGTTGAAGTTTTGTAACCTTTTTTGGTTTAAAATTTTAATAAAATTTTTAACAAATGTAACTTAACGTGTATTGATATAGAGTGCAAATTATGCAAATTAGATGGGTACCATCCAGACTCTCACAGTATGATGTACAGGGGTAAGTCACTGCTAATTTAATGTGAAGAGCATATATTTTAAATTAAATGAATTCAAAATATGATTTAAAATTAGCAGTCCGGAATTGTGACGATCTTTCAATAAATAATTGCTGATTATTATCTATTTTTCCATCCAGGTATAAAAAAATCCAAAGAGACAGCTCGAGTCCGATTCAAATTAATTATGAATGAAATGTTTGCATTTTATTACAAGAGTTGTTTTGTCACACAATGTTTCTATTCGCAATGTATACTGACAAAAACTATCAAAATTACTTTTGACATCAAAGTATAAAAAAATTTTACAGGTTTTCTTTATTTTCTTGCAGTATCGTACAGTTATCGTAACTATGACATTTATTTAATAATATTATTAGGATTGTTTTTTAAGATATAAATAATGCATGCACCTTGCACATTCAACATATAAATAGTCGAATGTTTGGTTGTCCACTCATTATTGTTTTAATTTCTGCAATTTCTATGTAAAAAACAAATTTGTTTAAACAGTCAGCCAAATATATATATATATTTTTATAATTCGAGCGATGTGTATTGTTAAATTTAATTAAGTATTTGATTTTTGTAACTTTGCGACTATTTCGCAAAAAAAAAAAAAAAAAAATTGTAATCT